AAAAATTGTCCATCTTGGTTTATTTTTCGAAATTTTTTTATCGTCGTTTTGTTGCCTCTCTTCGCATAAATTTTCCCCTCTCTCTTCCGTCACCTTTGCTACGTATAGTAATTCGTTTTAAGAGAAGTCTAGGCGACACATTCGTTCGCGAGTTTGGCAAGTCGGGCAATTGTTGTACTACTTCTAGAAATCCACAACAGTCGATCGGGAAATATTTATTTATACAGCTTCACTGTATAATAACTGCGAGTTGAAGTATTGACGAGTTTATGAGAGAGTATAGAAGAGTAAGAAGAGGAGACACCTTTTAATAGAATTCACATTAGGAGGAAGAAAATGTATGTTAGAAAAACATTGCACTGAGCAATTCCACTTGGATAACACAATATACGGCGAAGCTTAAAAGTGATTACTTATTAATAATGTGCTTGAAGTTTAAATTTCGTTTGTAAACAAACAACAAAGAAGAAAAAAATAAAGAAAAAGAAAAACCGGCTTTATGCGTGGCTGGATGCAATGAAAAAGGAGTGATTAAGCTCGCGGGACAAGGATCGAGAACCGAAGTTCGTTCACAAGTGCCGGACCGAAGATTTGATTATTGGAATATGATACCATTCGGAATTTATTCTTTTTCGATAATCATAATAATTATTATATGGCCGAAGCTGGTTGACAGACATCGGTCAAAAGGAAGCTTTCGAGTGGACGGCGCCTGCATTTGTCGTTCATTTGTTTTGAATTTTATAAGAATTGCCACTGGATTATTGCCAATGACTTCTTAACAGAACGAAGCAAAAAATTTTGACAGTCTCTTTTGCGCATTCGCATTCCCGTCTACCTTAGGCATTTCATGTGATTCAACGGATGAAAGGAAAGCAAGAGCGTTCTATTATTTATTTGAAGAAGAAAAAAAAAAGAAAAGAAGAGAAAAGAAAAAACAGAGAGAAACAATTACAGACACATAAAAAGAATATTATTAATGTATTCATTGCAATTAGATTCAAGCATCACTTTCAAGAAGCTTCTCAAAATTTTCTTGTCTATATATCTAGTATAAACTTAAAAATGTACATATAATTCACACATCCTCTTGACTTGAGCAATTAAATTTTCCTCGCCCTTATGAAAAATTGCACACATCAGTCATATTCTGGCATATTATTAAATAAACGTGTCCGCCATCGTTATTTGTACAAATCACTTTAGTTATTATCAGTTATATTCGCGGCTTTGTATTTTATTTATTTATTTTTTTTTTTTTTATTCCTCTCTCTCTCTCTCTCTCTCTCTCTCTCTCTCTCTCTGTGGTTACTTTACGTATCTATAATTGTCGGACGTTATATGGGCGCCGCCACGCACTGCCGCCACGCACTGCCGCAATGTTATGTCAGAATATATTTCGTACGTATCAATAATTAACGACATAACATCAAACGTAACTAGCAATACCATTGGTGCTGTATCAATACGGTTTATATGTCGTTTTATATATAAAGCTTTCTACAAATAGTTACACATTATCCTTTAAAGTCATAATTAGAAACAAGACTTACTCTATCAACCATACAAAAATGAATTTTTTGCAACTTCCTTCTCTCATAATTTCATCTCATAACTCCATCGAATATATGCCGTATACTTATGCCAGGGTGGGTTAATGCATGATCACACTATTTTTGACGCTTCTGCTCCTTTTTACTTTTTCGCAAGAGATCTAAGGATCCTCGGAGATACTACACAGGAAACATACGATTTAAATACGATATACGTTATACAAATAACTCGCGCAGAACGGAAACGGTTTATATCTACTAAAAATCGAACTTTACGCACTCTACATCATACGCATAGATAATAAGAAATAATCCCTTGTTATGTTGCTCTCTCTCTCTCTCTCTCTCACTCTCTCTCGCTCTCTCTCTCTCTCTCTCTCTCTCTCTCTCTCGGAATCTAGCTAAATATCTATGCCAACTATCTACTTTAGTTTATCCGTCTCTCGTTCCATCTCCCCCTTTCGAACTCTGTCACTCACTGCTTCTACCGTTCCTTTACTCTCGCGTCGCCCGACGCTTTCAAAAGCGCTGCGTTTCCTTCTATCATAGTACTTCAATACTCGCGCCATATATTTTCCTCGCATCTTCGCATTATTCTTCGTCTCTGCTGCTTTAGTCTCTCATTATATGCTACACATTATTATGGTTACACGGTATGGTTACGCTCGCTATGTGAGATTATACGTGAGTATATTTTTTCCTTCCTTTCTCCCTTTCTCTCCTCGCATGGACTCGCTTCTTAATTACGTACGGTCGATTATTTATAATAATATTTCATTAGGTAATTAACGGCGGGGCTGGTTATGCACTTTTATCATCTTTCTTCTAATTATTATTATTATTTTTATTATTTTTATTATTATTATTATTATTATTATTATTATTATTATTATTATATATATATATATATATATAAATATATATATATATATATATATATATTTTTTTTTCTTCTTTAAGTTTAGTTTATTTTATTCTATTTTATAGATTATATGCGTTACACCGGACGTTTATGACGGAGCTGCCTTCTTTCGTCGTGCCGCGTTCTTATACCTTTTCTTTCATTTTTTTCTCTTTATTTTTCATTACTTTTTTTTGTGCTTCTGCCTCTTATAGCAGTGAAAACTTTCTGTCTTTACTACTTTGTTACGTACATTTTTATTCGTATGAGAATTTTCTTTTTTCACTACTAGCTTTATATTTACCGGGAATAGTTTTTTTTTCATTTTTTTTTTTTAGTACGCTCACGTTACTTCTTTCTTTTTTGAGAAATTTCGAAATGATATTCGAATTGAGCTACAAAGAAACAATTTTGATTTACTTTTCCAGAGATTTTTTTTTCCTTTTATTGTCTTAATGCATCCAACAGGTCATATAATAAAAAATAAATATTATAATTATATTTTAATTAAGAATTTTATTTGTTCTAGACTTATTACGTGTTCTCACTCTCTCTCTCCTCTCTCTCTCTCTCTCTCTCTCTCTCTCTCTCTCGCTACCTCTTTCTCATTCCATTCTATAAAAAGCGAATCAATTACCCTTGATCCCTCACAGCTCAATCCAATATTAAATCTTTCTGCATTTAAACGCTATTCATTATTGTTTAATATGTCTATGCTTTACGTATTTTCGGTTATAATGGACAATAATTTTTTTATTCGTTAATTTTTTAATTTGTAATAATCCTCATTTGTAATAAATCTACACTGCCCAGTAGTGTTTACTTAAATGTTTTCTTTTTTTATTTATACCATCGCGTCTTTATCTTCAGTTTTATCTTTTTACGAGTAAACTAATTAAGTAATACCAACAACAGGTTTTAGATCTACTGAAGGTCTACCCTGACACCAAATTACGTATTTAATGTACTATGAGTGAGATACTCGTCCGGTAGTAGTTTCGCCGTTTCCACATCCTGCGTTTTCTTTTCTTTTTTTTTTTTTTTCTCTTTTATACTGTTTTTCTCTCTCTTTACATCCCTTTAACCATCGTCTTGATCACGTGCGCTTTTTGTTTCGCTTTTGACGAGAAGAGAGTTCGATTGATTTTTATCAATCAACAATTATTATACGCTTCGTTGTGCAGTAAGTACGGGCTGATTATAACACAAAGGAATAGACTTTGAAACAAAGCACATAATGAGAAAAAGTAGCGTCGAAAAAAACGGACGAAATTTTCACTCTCAACCAACGCAAAAAAATTGTAATAATAAAAACAATGGGCATTTTTCCTATGGCTTCACCCAAACGCTAATTTATCCAAAAAGTGATGTAGAATAGATGGATTAACAAAATCAAATTTTTTCTTTCCTAATGTCGCCTAAATTTTCCATCATCATCATCATCATCATCATCGATTCCTCGGCGAGGTTTGAGATACAACATGCACGAAAGCAATAAGCTCCTCGGCGACATATTTCTTATTACGTTTTTTTTTGTTTATTTTTTTTTTTTAAATAAAGGCTCTAAACGCTAATTACGTAACTTGAACACAATAAAGACTCTCGTTTTTTTTTTAATTATGTTTAACATTACACAAAATCAACATGGCTGATTCGGAGGGAAACAGAGCGAACCAATGTATACGTCTTTCATGGCGCGATTAGCAATTAATGATAAGTCTTTTTTCATCCCTCAATTCGTCTTATACTTGTTACATCATTCACCGGATTGTATCAGTACGTTTCGATTCTCGATCATCACTCGCACCCACCGTAAGCGTCCCGCGACACGCTGCCCTCTCTCTCTCTCTCTCTCTCTCTCTCTCTCTCTATCTCTCACTCACATGCTAACCCTCACGCACTCCCTCTCTCAACCCCTCTATGACCATCACTCGTAACGCGCATTTGGCAGGCGGTCTGCACACTTTTGGAGCCAGCATCGGCATCTCGGGGTGCAGCACCTCGACGCTATTTTTGTTTTTTCGTTAAAAGCGCGCGCGGTATAAGCGGTGTGTGCTCCTCGTCCTCTCCATTGTAGAACCGATTGAAACATGCAGTCTTCTCTCTTCGGACGCGCGCGGGCGTCATTGTCTATTTAACATTATTTTTTTCCGTTTTCTCTCCCGTATACCCTGCCAACACCTCCCCACCCCCATCCACCCACCCACCCACCCACCAAACCACCCTTATTCCTCCTATCCCCAAACCACCAACCTCCAACACCCATCCACAAAATTCCCACCCGTCCCTCCCACCGGCAATTAAACACACTCACGTCCCTCGGCTTCCCCCCCACCCCCCACCC